AACACCAGCACATTCCAGCGCTACCCTGCTCACACCAACCCTAATCCAATCTGTGTCAACTCACCTTATCCCAGCTTAGCCCAAACAATCCCAACCCAGCCTATCTCAGCTATCAGCTCTACCTGGCCAAGCCCACTTGGGAAGTTTAGCGAAGTCAAACAAAGAGCATTTTTATTTTTCTCCCAGGTAAACGTCTTGCTAGAAAAAAAACACAGACGATCTGCACTAGACAACTCATCGGCTAGAAACCAAACACCGCCAACAGTGTTGCGATAACTTCCTGTGAAAAGTCTCGCAAATTTCACGCTCTTAGAGATGTTCAAAACAAGAAGTGCCTGCAGGTTACAATTGAGGTGAAGACAAACAGTTCCCGTCCTCTAGAGCAAACCCTTCAAGATCCGAACTCCAATTACCAACACATCTTTCATCCCTGGAGGTTCACGCCCCTTGCCTTGCTTGGTTAGCTTCCCCTCGTCTCAGTTGACTGCCTCCAGAAACCCACAGGGGTACAAGTCCAGTCTCAGGAGCAGAGCTGTAGGTCCTCTTGAGACATATCCCAAGCAAGTCTGTGTCGGTGTTTTGATTTCGAATGAAAATGTTGGTCCAAAGTTTAAGGTGAGAAGTCGATCACGACATCGGGGATTTCGGCTCAAAGTTAGGTGATGAGGCACTAGCTTACACTTTGAAGTTTGTATGGGAACTGAGTAGTTATTCAGGTCATGTTGGTGTATTAACTTCATCCTTAAGAGAGTGAGAGTGAGGTGGAAGGTCTTCTAAAGTGAAAAAGGAGAGGACTGCACGCGGTGAACTGCCCATGGTTTAGTTCAATTGAGAAATGTGATCAGCCATATAACTTAAATACATATTCAAGAAATAGTAGGCGTAATGACTTAGTTTCAGCAGCCGTTATTGACCAGTCCGTGTCTGCTCACAATCATACGGCCGTAAATAACTTTGTTACATAAATAAACCACGATCGACCGGAAATAGGCACACAAATTAAGTACTTGGTCCGTGAAGGAATAACAACTGCGCGTTAGAAAGATGGTTATGACGTAACTAGTGTCCAGGATACAATGGCATGGATTATATCACCTGTGCAGTGAATTAGAGAGAGCTAGGTATAACTTTGGGTGAATATAAACGCGCGCAGCAGGCTCAGGATCCCTCTTAGTCCGAGCATCTGTGTTTCATCTCTTTAATTGGTCCATAATCTCGGGGATTATAGCCCTTTTACAGATGTGTTTTTCTCCGAGATGACATCAGTGACAATTCCGGAAACTCATAACCAAGATCTGGGCCACCAGAAGTATCCCAGCTGCCTTGCAAATTCTCTTCTAATTTAACCGCCCGTATCATCAAACAGACAAGATGCTAATCCACCAACGGAAATGGAGGCGTCACATCTATTATTGAGAATCCGATATGTGGCTTCTCACCCAAATCTGTACAATTGGATGGTTTCCCCTTCTCAGCATCTATACTTCTTTGAAAACTGATGATAAAACTGATTTGGGGGGGGGGGGCTTTATAAAATAGGGTCAATGTCTTGTCCAGGGGAGCGGATAAAAGTTAGCCGTTTACTACACGCCATATCGTCAATCTCTTCAAATATCTCTCGGAAAGTGTAGATGTCGCTGGTTGGACGCATAACGTATGCGCGCACTGAGTCGACGCAGCTTGTGAAATATTGTCCAATTACATGATATATACAAATAGACGCGGAACGCGCAAACTCCGAGACAAACAAAAAGTCCATAGGGTTGTCTAAGAGGCGTGGTTAACTCGCAAACTACGATAGGTCAATTCCACCGCTGAATTTACAAGGTTCGTTTCTTTCATCAATTTCAGTTGACGGAAAGTTTGTTTTACTTCAATGTTATACCAAGGGCTACCCTTTCATCTCCCAATCTTTCGCCGAGGCAAATGGAGGAATTACGCTTAAATCTGGAAACCTCTAAAGCGTCCCCCGCAAACACCAAGGTGTTAATCCAGAATTCCTTAAACCTCAGCAAAGGTTTAGTCATTTCGTTCTCTCTGCCTGTCGGCGCCACTCCGTAATCTTTACCTCGGAGGCTTCGTCACGTTACAAACTCCAGACAAGTTGGGCTGTTTTTGTTGCGCTCGTAAGGGCTCATGGGACCGGGTCTGCTCGATGCCCATCTCTCTTATCGGCGCCATCTTGACGCGAAACCCCAGAAGGGGCGCTGTGGTGAGAACTGACCATTGCCGCCATGTTTTCGACACGGGAAGTCAGGTGTTTCACCCTTCTACTTCTAGAGGACGGAATCCGAAATGTCGGCAATTATTTTTTGATGGTGTCATTTGAGGTCGAGCCCGGCCGACCGTAGTTTGTTTTGCTTTGAGTCATGCTACCTTCCTTCTTCGCGGGGCCCACATCTTTGATCTGAGGTCTAATCCACTGCTTCGGTCATCGCAATAGCAAGTTCCATGGTAACAGTTCCCCTTCTGTCCAATTGGTGAACGTTTCACCCTTACTTGTTCTCGTTGATTCAAAAGAACAGTTGCCGCATAATACCGAAATCAAACAAATTGGACATATTGCGAAAATGTTTGAATTTCATACCTCCATGCACGGCATACAAAAAACCCCAGAGACCTCTGGCAGTCTAAATCAATTTGTGTTCTATTAAAAGAAAATTATAAAATATACTCGACAATGAAATCTCGTAAACCATACTGACAGAAATTGTAAACAGAGGTCAACAGGCATGTCGACAATTTGCACCAATTAACCTCCAAGTAACGGACTGTGAACAAGATCGACCTCCAGGATTTTTTTCAGTGAACTCAAAAGAGGAGAATTTGTGGTAAATGAACTGTTTCCACTTGTTTAAATCATCAAAACACCTCTTCTTTTCTTTTCTTTATAACCATTTAATGCTTGTACGAGGCTGAACACATTACCTGGGCATATGCGCTGTGAAATTACGTAATCAATTTGTGAAACAAATTAGTAATAACTGACCTGAGGTCATTCCAATCATTTACGAGGGAAATGACGCCCTCAACATACTTTTGCATCACATAACAGTTCTAACTACGTGATGGCAATATCCCAATGGGACCTCTGGCAATAATTGGATTGTTTGTGTCAGAAAAGGGAAGAGGACTAGTCTTGTAATGTGTTACCTTAAGTGACCTCTGTGACGTAATTTTGGTCTCCCGCTTGACGCTTCCGCTTAGAGAAAATTAAGTCATGTATATAATGTTCACCTTGAATACAATTATTGTTTTCCTCTTACAATGTTCTGGATCTTTCACGAAGCAATTAACAACAGTTAATAGAGGGTTGAGGGAAATCAGGTGTAGACCTGTTGGGGAGGTCAGAGAACACAAACCACACGGCAGTGGATGGGGATAATTATAACACTGGCAAGATACTTCCTGCACCCCGCGAACGGTGATTGCGCACAGAAGGGAACATCGGGACTCCATTGCGCAGGTCTCTAATTGGTCAGGCGGCAGTGATGCCGCTGTACATCTCAACGATCGAGAGGTTGTCTGACTGTGGGTTCATTTTGTACACGGAGCTTCGTGCGATTGAGGTGGATCTATCTTGGGAATATATAGGTAGCATTGTTGAGGACTGCTGTAGGCCAACACTTGTAATAAATAGCTACATCGGAAGTCGAACATGTGAGTAAAATTGATTTTGAGTATTGTGGTGCAATGTCGTCTTTGGAATTGAGGCTTGCAGAATCGAGTGTCCAGTTTTGATGGAAATGATTTTGTTTGATGTGTTTTAAGAATAAAAGTTTAAAACATTTATACCGCTACCGGCGTTTTATCGTGCGTGTCAACAAAATGACGAAGTCTGGATTATCTTCATATTCAAGCAGCTTTTATTCTGTGCATGAGTGTTTACTGCCCGGATATTTGGATAGTGAAGTATTTATAATAATAAACGTATATTCTTGTGGTATTTCACATTGTAGTTCCCACTTGTTTTATGGCATGATGCTGTGACTCTGTTCAAACAAGCAGCTGCAGAAGAAAGTGAAAGAAAGAAATATTCAATGCACTTCATTTCAAACGCAATGATTTTGCTTATTGGAGAACGGTGATGACCGACGCGGCAGTTTCGTCATTGTGCCGGTACGTGACGCGCGTCCGTGTCCCTCGCAGTAGGTCACGCATCCCGCGCGCGTTGGTCACTCGTCAAAGGAACGATACTTAATTTGATTGACAAGTACAACGGACAGGCGGGCTTCTTACGACACGGCCTATAATTTTAACACCATCATCATTTTAGGTTTCATAAGCTAATCCCAATTTTATGCCTCAGCTTGACGTGTTGAGTGAAGCACGTCTGTTCCGCTTTCCACCGCACCTCTGAAATAGCCCCGCAATTTTTTGCAAAGTAATCTTACTTTTCTAATGATTTCATGCCCTTAAGTCCCGATGGTATCATTGTTAGGCAGACTCCTTTTTTGGCTTTACCCTCCTCAACATCCTAGGCACGGGGATTTCATACCGTAGCTAATCCCCCTTCCTCACTCCATCCCGTGATAACATGAAGCGTATCTGCTGGTTTGGGAATGGAATTTTCCACGGGCGTGCGGGGTATACCGAAGCTCTCATGCCGGGTGAAATTAGGACCGTGAGCCAGATCGTTTCAGACACGCGGTGCGCGATGCGGTGGTCAACATAAATTATGGTGCTTGGGCCGGCCTCTGTTATCCTGTAACATTCTGACGCACAGTTTAGGTGTCCAAGAGAAGATGTGAAGGGGAGGTGGCTGATTCATAACGCGGGAGTCACAACATCTGTTTTGGTGCCTCGATAGACACACTGACGTGATAGGAAATGTCTGTATTGTGCTTTTAATTGACTTAAATATCAAAGTGTCAGAGCGAAAGTCGAAGTAAGGGAGCACGCGAGCGCAGAGCACCGAAGATGGTGGCAATTATTAAGCACCCAAATCAATCATGTTCAATTTCTTAAAGACGAATTTCCTATTTCTTCATCTTTTCCAGTTGGCATCTCCGGACTCCTCACCCACTGCAAGCATGGCTTCAATTTTGCGACGTGTTTGTCTGCCCCTCGTGGTGTTACTTTATCTTGCTGCTGCACGTGTGTCGTCCCAGAGGACTATAAAAGTGGGCACGTGGTTACCAGGGCAGCGCGTCTGCGTGGCTACAGCCTGCGCGTACACCGTCGACATCGCCCTCGCCGACTGCAACGGTCGTCAGCTCACTTGCTTACCGTTGAAATTCAACCAAGCAGTCAATATGGACATGGGACAAAACAGCATCAACCGGTTACCCCGCGGAATGCTGACTGGTTACCTTAGACTCAGGTCGTTAGACCTAACAAACAATTTGATCTCGACCATTGAGGACCGGGCTTTCAATTCGCTGGGAACGCTCAAAAGCTTGACCCTGAGTTTCAACCGGATCAGCCGATTGGGAGTCGGGACATTTACCGGACTGAGGAGTATACAGAACCTCTATCTGCAAGGCAATAGCATCGCGTCGATTCACGTCAACTCATTCACGGGCTTGACGGAGATACGAGATTTGAATCTCGCTGGTAACCGATTGGTGACCTTGCCTGATTCCGTATTCAGCCCCATGGTTAACATGCGGAGACTCATGCTGCAGGAAAACCAGCTGAGTACCACCAACCGCTTCTTGACTGGTTTACGAAGCCTGGTCGAGTTGGATCTAGACGGTAATCGGTTTACCACTTTGCCAGATCTGAGCGGTATGCGCATGCTCGGTGACCTCGAGATCACAGATTCCAGTATACGGCGGATCAAGAACAATTCATTTGCCGGTTGCGGACGGATGAAAGAGTTGATACTTTCGAGCAACTCTATCGACACGATCGACATTCTGGGTTTTAATGGGTTGCGGGATTTGACGGACCTCCATCTGTCATCCAACGTACTCCAGACGATCCCACAGACTGCCTTCCGCCAGTTGATCTTCGTGGAGAGATTATATCTCCAGAACAACTTGTTGAAGACTCTGACAGCCAATCACTTCGCGACCTTGACCAGACTGCTTGTCCTGTCTCTAGGCAACAACCAATTGACTGTCTTTCCTCCTCTACCAACTCTCAGATCACTTACCACCTTGGATCTTACCTCCAACCAGCTATCAACGTTCACCAAGGATATGTTGTTGTCCCTCCCGCTCTTGAACCGCCTTCTGCTGACCAACAACCCGCTCCAGTGTGACTGCCGTCTCAAATACCTCCGCCAGTGGTTCATTGATAGCGGTCGGCGGCACCGTAGCTTTGAGATCCCGCAGTGCGAGCTGCCGGCCTTGTTAAGCAAGACTCGGCTCACTGCTGCGCCGGCGTCCGGTCTGCTCTGCTCTCCGCCGTCCGTGTGGGCACGCACGGAGTCCGTCTCAGGCCTGGAAGGACATAACATCACCTTAGATTGCAGCGGGACGGGTGGTTTTCCTTCCCCGTCTATCTCTTGGCGGTCACCCGATCACCAGGAGCTCCTTCCCGATGTTCTCTCGGGTCGGTATCTCGTCTCAGACGATGGACCAATGACAGTCATCAGAGCAACCATGGCCGATACTGGACTATTCACCTGCGTTGGATCTAACCCTGCCGGTATGGCTACTGTTGCGGTTGCCTTAAGAGTCAAAAAGAATCCCAACCTCCCAATACCTACTCCGGCAATAGGTGGGACCATCCCAGTCACACCTGCTCAAGTGGACCCACTGACCTCGCCTGGAGTTGACAGACCCATCACCCCATATATTGACGTGGTGACATCATTTAACACACCCTCAGAGAAACTCCCACCAGATGTACTACCGACAAGCTGGGAACCAGGGAAGCCTGGGTGGGAAGAAAAACCAAGACTTCCTGGAGAACAGCCACCGCCTTCTGACGATGACCTGTATTGGGATGAGACTGGCTGCGGTACACATCCTACCAAGGTGGCCTGGGGCATCTTCCTGACCTTCTTCTTAACTTGTATCCTCTGCACCATCTTCTTCTGGTCTTGGTACCACCGCCTGATCCCAAGGATCATCGGGCGTTCGCTCAACCTCCGGTCTCTCAAGAGCAGGCGTCCGATGTCTCGGAACATCGTACCCTTGCGGTCGCGAGCGGCTAGGGCTTACAACCAGATGCAAAGTGAGGGCATCTACATGCGGCCAGGCTCCTACAGCGGTAGCGACGACTCTCGCAGCTCTTCCGGCACCTTCGATCCGGATAGTCGTTACGTCATCACAGAGAGCGCCGTGGATCCGGAAACCTTAGTGCGAAGGCAACTGATCCTGGACAGACTCACGCTCAAGCCGTCGGTCGTGTCCGGCGCTGATCGGCACACTTACATGAACGCCGATGTGGTACTGAGTGAATCGAACTACACTGCGCTTTGCACAACCAAAGACGCTAATCGGTCGTCCGTGCAGCCTGGGACGGAGTCTAACGAGGAGCACTCTACCAAGCAGTTCAAGCATAAATCACTTGCAGAAAGGAGTGTGGACAGTAGAATATACATGGATCTCAGTTGAGGAACCTTTCCAAACTCTTAATTTAATGATAAATAAAGGGATGAACCGGTGTCTTTTGAAATTATTACTCTAATTTAAATAAATTAAACTATTTTAGGTCAGGGCAATTCGGTAAAACCCAACGCACGTCCGACCACATGATGTACGTGTACAAGGTCGCTATAAGGTGGTGGTACCTTAGTTTGGTCTGTAATTGTTTTCTACTCATTAGATGTCACATTATTAGTGATGTATCACATTCACTTTTCCAACAGCAGCTCATTAAAGTGTCGGACCTGTACGATCGAATTTATGGAATTGCCCGTATGGTACAGAGTGGTGTTGTATATAACTTTGTGCAATCTCAAACAAATCTTTGTATTCATTTCAAACAAAAAGGTGGGATCTTTTTATACTACAGCGCGTCCCAAAATACCCGCAACTTCTTTTGCGAGGCTCTGGCGTCGGCGCGGAAACACGTACCGCCATTATTTGTTTTATATCATTTGAAAGCGTGGAACTTTAACTTTACCCTGGCGAGTATTGGTTTATTATTCCAATGAGTTTTAAAATTATTCGTGTTTAAATAAAGGCATGTCAAAAACAAACTCAACCGATTTCAAGGAACATCGACGATGCGGTACATCAGATGCAAACTCGAGTCAACAAGCTGTTGAAATAACAACATCAAAAACCAGTTAATTTATATCAAAAACACATTGAACTTGAAGCGAAGAACAATATTGTGAATTTATTTAGGGATTGTCTACGTGGATCGAAAAGAAAAGGAAACACAGAAAGTAAAAGGCAACGAGATCGTCACATCATGAACATGATGAAGCATTTCCACATTAGAATAAATTTGCATGATTGATTTTCCTTGAAATCGGTTGAGTTTGTTTTTGACATGCCTTTATTTGAATAATTATTTCAAAACAATTTTTAAAATTAATCAATACTAATGCGCCTATCAAATGCCCCCCCCCCCCCCGCAGCCCCATGTCCGATGTCGGAATTTCGTCACGTTTTTCATGCCCCAGGGTGGGGATTTTGGTTACTCAAATTACATTTTTACCATTGGCGTGCTACAAGGAAATGCATTTACTAGTGCACCCCATGTCGAGGCATGGTTGGGGATTGTCACTTAAAATTTTGCCCGAGAGGTGGGGATTTTGTCACTTCAAAAGTGACAATCCCGACGTCTTGGGTGGGGCAGCCCGGGGGAGGGGTGTGGGAAACAATTGATAGTCGCATTACCAGGTATAAAGTTAAGATTCCAAGTTATAAAACGAAATAATGGCGTTACGTTTTTCGGCGGCGACGCTAGAGCCTCGCCAAAAAAATATTGTGGGTATTTTTTGATGCGCTGTAGTCCAGTCTTTTACGCATCGTATAGACACTATGATAAGGGAAATTGCATTGGGGAAAACAATCAGTGTTGTCGGGTACTTAACTTCTCCGATAAAATTTGCTTGTAAGTTCTGCATCATTTATCTCATATAATAATATTCCACATTCCATTATTGTAAATATGTAAGAAACGTTGATGTATATTAGTGTACATATAATATGTATAGATTATTTTGTACAAAAGAAAGATTTAAAGCAAAAGAAAGATGGATTGTTTCTGATTTTACGTACTATTTACTCTAGTTTCCCTGTTTCAAAAAAAATGGGGGAGTTAGGAGTTTTACTAAGAAAAGCAGCACATCAGCAGTGTGTCATGTGATACAACAAGTTAATTGTCGTAAGTGCTGAGCAAGATCAATAGTTACTCAGCTACAAGGGCGGATCCAGAACACTTTTTTTTGGGGGGGGCAAATAAAATTGGGTCCCCCTAAAAGTGGGTCAACAAAATTACGGCGTGGGAAAAAAATGGGTTGTAGATGCTCTGTGATGTGGTGCGATCTGAGGCAATTTCTGACCACTTTAACTTTGTTTGAGGAAAAGATGGTGGTGTACGCAGTGCCTGCCTTTATTGCCAAGTCGCTTAAAAACAAAATTGGTCGGGTTTTTTTTTTTGGGGGGGGGGCATGGCCCCTTTTGAACCCCCCCCCCCCCGATCCGCCTGTAATAGCTTTCTACTGAACAGAATGATAAAGTAATTTTGCCTCGCATTTTGTAGTCTAACATGTCTCGGAAAATTGAATTCTCTAGGAGGTTGTTTTACCGGCCAAATTCTTGTGCCAATGATGGAGAACACGGATACCATTTTTTGGCGGGCCACGCACGGGCGAACTCCACTATTATATATATTTAAAACCAGTTGTACAACAGAGGGCCATTGGCGTATCCAGCTTTTGATGTCGGGGGGGGGGGGGGGGGGGGGGGGGCAACCGCACTCGCATATCCGCGCCGAAATGTAGACATTTTTTTCTCCGGACACTTGTGTAATTTGGGCTCATGCCCATAATTCGAAAGAAACCCCTAATATAAACTGAACAGCGTCTTCCTAAAATAACATCACAGCAACAGCGCCCTCAGTTGTCCGGAAAAGCATGGACATTTAATTAATGTTTAATAAGTGCCGCACTTTTCAATAAAATTAACCCAAAGGGAATGTCAAATAGTTTTCAGATGCAGTAGAAAGTTGCACGAAATGTGTTCTTAAGAAAATCTCATCTCATGGACCCTTTAGTATTCTTGAAAAACGTCTTAAGTAACTTCATAGGGTAAGAGAGGGTGGGTGTGGTCGCGCCTGGACCCCGCTCAGGCCCAACCCCACTGTCTTTGAAAAATTTGACTGAGTCACGAATATTTATTTGAAGTTAGTATTTCAAGTTTGGACAAAACCTTCTTTTAATATTTAAATTACAATTTGTGTTTTGTAGAAATATTACTGGAAGTTGAGAAAGATGCTTGTTCAATAAATATTTTGCGAGGGAGATGACTGTCCCATGAAAGATTGTGTCATTTTTTCCCTAAATTTCGAACAGTTGGATTTCTTAAAACGTAAGTTTTGAGAGGAATAAAAAACTTTCCTCCTTCTGAAACATTTTCATTATGAAGATGCAAGTGCGGGGGGTGCCACACCCATTATACATGCAGTATCACATGACTAGGCTTCGCATGAACAATAGTCAACGAACATTCGTTCTTCACGAAACAAACACCAAAGTACGCCTGTTACAGAGACTAGCAAAGGACGCGATGAAACTGGTCCCCACTTTCGCAATATTCAAAGGACAATGGAGCGACCGGGAACCAGTCTAGGCTGTAACAGTATTTCGCAATTAATGCTTTATATATTTAACACTACGCCCTCATCGTCGAGGTCTCCGTGGCGCAATCGGTTAGCGCGTTCGGCTGTTAACCGAAAGGTTGGTGGTTCAAGCCCACCCGGGGACGATTGTTCTCACTTTTTCCTTCCGAGATATTTCATCATCGGTAAAAGTATTTTTGATAGTGATACATGTGCGATCTCCAAAAAGAAAACGTCTTTTAAAAAAAAATTAATCCTTTTTTTCTTCTTCATATTTACATCTTTTTCTTCTTTATTGAAAAAAAACTTGTAATGAAAGTGAACTGCATATAATGTATCTCTGCTAGTAAAAGTTTAAAGTCGATATTTTTTGGAAGATTTTCAATGACTACCTCTTCGAAATTACATATAATTTATAAAGACGAAGAAGAAAAAGAAACAACTAATTCAAAAACTTGAGATAATGTGCACATTCAATATTTCTTGTCAACATTTTTATTAATTATGTGCAATATCTGAACTTGACTGAACTCTTTGTTAAACGTGTAAAATGGGAAAAAGAAACGGGCAAAATATTGAGGCACACAAACTTTTGCACAACTCTAAGCTTGAGGTTAGGAAAGCTACTTCGATTGATTTACTTGAGTCGTTGAGGGCGTTCTCCTCCAAATTTGGACGGGAAAGTTTCTGAACTTGGATGGAGCGCTTGACAGGTGGTATTCATAAATCCCCGAAAATGGCCTAAAATCTTGCCAAAAAGAACCGATGTTTTGACAGGATTGGATAGAGGACAGCCGGTAGAGGCAACACAAGGCCAACATGGAGTTTAAAGAGGTGTTTGCGGTAAGTGTTTCGAGTTTGTAAAGTCATTAGAAAGTGTTTGTGGTTGTGCTGGAAATGGTGTCGGTGTCAAGCATACATGTACATTCCAATGCGTTGCAACACACTTGGCCATATTCGCTCAAGCGTGTCGTTCGTTTTCACGTTTTTGTTGTGTTTGTCCTTTTCCTAGTATTTAATCCTTTTGTACTGTAGTTGAATAAGACGTATGTGGCATACATAGTTCGTCTGTTTCTGTGTTGTATGGTGTATTGTAAAATTGTATTCAACCAGGCCTACCGCCTAGCTCAGCCTCAGCTCTGGGAATTTTAAAATTTTATTCACCATGTCAAATTGTCATGAGGCAATACTGCAATAGAGCTGGACTTCCCCGGCCATATTCAACCATGATTCAACACTTGGGATTTTTTTCTAAAGATTATACAGACGGGAAAAAACTTATGAGAGAATTCAGACAACTTTTTGGGTTGTCTGAGTCTGAGACAAATTGTGTATTTGAGAATTGTGATAGGAATGGGCACCTGTTCTTGGTCCAAAATTCATATTCATATTTTTGTTTTTCGTAACATTTTTATTTACACTGAGTGTTGATCATTCCAAGTAATGCGTGATGAAAATGGCTTAGCCTCAACCTTGTGAATTGATTTTACAAGTTTACAACTTGGAAGATTGCAACGTGTTGTTCAATTCACATTTTGGAAAAAGAATATGAAAAAGTTGTAATGCTTTAAAGAATTGTGCAGCATAAAAATTAATCAGATTGTGATGAAGAAAATAATGAGATTTTCTTAAAACTGGAAATGTCACAAGTGAAAAAAAGTTGCAAACTTATATTTTCAGGTTCACCATTTACTTTCTGCCTTTCTCCAAATTGCTATTTCTGTGTAAATATATTTTTCTTCTTTTTATTGTGGATCATTTATTATGTCCACGCAAAATCTTGTCGAAAGTTTTAGAGTTGCGTTAATTATTGTCTTGTATCATTTATCTTTTGAGATCAAAGTGCGTTTGTGTGAGTTGTGAGGAACGATTACAGTAATTAGTTCCACGTCAATATATTTGATTGCGTTCAGTTGCATTTGTTGATGAATGTATGTTTATTGATGTTATCTCAAATTTTATATAGGTTTTGGTTTACAAATATTTAATCCCTCCCGATCCACTGAAGACATGTGACACTTCCGAAAGTTATTACATATTTGTCGTCATAAGCCGGCATCGTTATCTTGTAATAAGGCATGATAGGCAGGCTGATTATTAACCAGATTAACTCTTTTATTCTGCTGGTTTCACGACCTTTGGAACAGGGCTGGTACTGTCGCAAATGTAATGCTTACAACGCTCATCAAAACAGTCGCTATGATTCATATCTCATAAAAAAAAATATGGCCACAAGCTTGTGATTATGAATCAACTGTTGGAAAAAAGGCCTGCAGTTTTGGTTTTGCTGTTGACAATGCAGCGAGACGATTAGTTTTGCCGAGTTAGTAGTTTCATAAAGGAAGTACCAGCCGCGGTGGTGGTTCTTTGTGTATTCGACGACAGCACAAAGATTTCGACATCAGGACTTATTTGGAATTTCCAAGCCAGTAATTCCGGGTTGTGGGGTTGGAGAGAACTTTACAGGTGAACGCACCTGTAAAGCAAATAGCGGAACTAGTCGAGCTGAGGTTTATATTGATTACTAGCAATCATGGACCACTTTGCAAAATCGTTTTGCGTAAGTACTAAAAAAAAAATGTGATTTAAATTTTGTAAGTTTCATTTATTGTATGCATGTGCTGAGATTTGCTTATAAATATATTGCTAGGGAGGTTCATTAACTTACGGTGCTAATTAATAAAGGCTAATTCTAAGAATTGTGATCTCCCGGTATCTCATAATTAAAATTCATTAACGCTGCATGTTACAAATGTACTACCCCCCTCAAGCCTCAAAAGTCTTACAGGTGGTTTTGGAGGATTTTGGAGGATTGAAGATGAATAAGTAAAGTTTGTCACGAGCCAATGTGGCCCATCAGGTCGGCGTTTCAGTAGCATGAAACGCCTGAGAATATTTCTATTCCCCCTGGACGGGATGCTAGTCCATCGCAGGTTACTCCCCTGCTATTACCAGTACCCATTTATAAATACTCCTGGGTGGAGAGAGGCAGGTTGGGGTGAAGTGGCTTACCCAAGGACACAGCATATGACCAGCAGCTGGATTTGAACCCCTGACCCTCTGATCATGAGTCACAAACCCTAACCACTAGGCCACACTCCCCACCCACAATGGATATGCAGCATACAATTTTGGAGGGATGTGGAGGATTGAGGGCACATGGATATTCAGTATCGGTTGATTTTGGAGGATTGAGGCTGAATGGTGTTTGAAGAAGAGGAGGATTTTGGAGGATTGAGGCTGAATGGTGTTTGAAGAAGAGGAGGATTTTGGAGGATTGAGGCTGAATGGTGTTTGAAGAAGAGGAGGATTTTGCAGGATTGAGGCTGAATGGTGTTTGAAGAAGAGGAGGATTTTTGAGGATTGAGGCTGAATGGTGTTTGAAGAAGAGGAGGATTTTGGAGGATTGAGGCTGAATGCATTGTGAGAGGCAGGGCTGTTAGAGGCTTTTGAAGGATTTGGGCAGTGGGTACCTTCATTTGAACATAAGTGCAACATTTTTGAGGATTTTGGAGGATCGAGGATGGTTCCTGGCAAAAAGGCCTCTGGGCTTGTGGTTAGTTTAATTTGGTTCACTCGTAGCCTCAAGCCTTTCTTGTAGTAGATTCTGTGCAGAATTCTGCATGTGCCTGTTCTGGTGGCCTTGCTAGCCTGGGATTTTCTGTGCACAATTTGGTAGTTTATTGTATTTATTGCAATTTGGAAAATGTAATTTATTACTGCCAGACTTCAGCATCCTTGAACATTGGCTGAGCTGTCAGTGGATACAATGTAGATATTGGCCTCCATTCAGTATTGAGCTACATGTAAATAGTTATTCTAGGCAATAGTGTGTAACTAGGCAACTGTAAGAGGTAAAAGCCCTTGGATAAATCACATTTTGCAACAGATGACCCTGACAGCAATGTTTAGCCAGAGAGTTGTCTGGGTGTCGGATTTGCTTCAAGTTGTCATTATCAGATTTTAACACATTGGAATTCCTTCTTTTTTTTCCCAATTAAAGGTAGAGTAAATGTAGATCATTTGTAGCTATCCAAAAAGTAACTGACGAAATTATTGTTGAAAAGCATACTTGGTTTAAAGATACATGTAATAACGGCACTAAACTCCCTGTGAATTATTCTTTCTGGCTGTCATTTTGAAGAAAACAATAAAAGAAGGCCATTTCCAGAGATGCGTCTAATAATTTAAGAATTTTTTTTGGATATTTCCGTGGTAGTTGATTTGTAATTTGGCGAATCCGTGAATGGGTGTGCGCAAGCATTGCCACACCTTTGACCTCACTTGACCTTTTTTTGCCCTTTTGCAGGATGAGGCGGGTTACGCAGAGCTGAAGAAGCACATGAGACAAGCCACGGATTTCAGTTCCTCAGTAATGAGCATCTTCCAAGAAAGGTACGACTAGGGTTAAGATTTGTTGATTTATTGTAAGAAAAAAAAATGGAAATTTATACTTCGGTTAGTTTACATGTAAACAAGGGTGGCTCCAGAACACATTCCTTGTTTGGGGGGGGGGCAAAAAATGTTGGTCCCCAAACAATTTTTGGATTTTAGATGCTCTGTGGTGTGATCTAAGGCAATTTCTGACAGGTTTAACCAAGTTTTAAAAAAAATAATAGATAGTGTTGTTAGATAGCGTTGTTACTTTAAAAAAAAATTGGGGTTTTTTTGGGGGGGGGGGAGCCAGGCCCCTGTTGCCCCCCCCCCCATCTACTCCTGCATATAAATAACTCTAGTGACATTTTGAAGTGGTTAGGATTTTGAATTTAAATGAAAGTACAACAAGTGACAGGACATGTATGTACATTGTATGTATAATACATGTACATTGTAAATGTAAATTGGTGTGTAATACATTCTAAATGATTCATTGCATGAGCATACATGTATCGATGCCATCTCCGTGTTTGATGTTTTGAATTATGTCTGCGAAAACAAAATAAAGTAGCTTAATAATGGCATTTGTACTCCAACAAGGATACCAGATTGTAACGATATATTTATGACTGTATCAATTTGAGCCATCATTGTCATCATGTTACATTGTGCAATGCAACTTGATAAAATGCAGTGTGCAATGTACATGTGGAAGTAGTTGACAATATTGCCTCCAAGTGCCATATTTGTTTTTTGTTGCAGTTGTTTGGTTCTTTCCTAAGCTTGGTTAGCTTGTGTTGTTTCTTATTCACAGAGCTGACATTGAATCAACGTATGCCAAGAGTATCGCTAAGTTGAACGCCAGGGCAATGAAATGCAACAAAGACGCCACAGGGTAAGTACATCACTGTACATACACGTGTAGTAATTAACACCCTGGCTGGCAATTTCAACAAGGTCAGCCCAGCTGTCAAAATAATTCAAGTGACTGTTTTTAACAGTTGAGTGCTCCCTGCCTTCATAGAGCAGGATTGACTGGCTGTGATTGTTATGAAACCTGATGCAGCTATGCTTTGACTGTAGGTGATTGATAAGCCAGCTGGGCCTACCAGTCACCTGCTTTTGTCTGTTGACGGAATTTGACTGTCACAGTGCATATGATCTGACTGTTGGTGACTAGCCTGTGTAAAAGGCATGGCAGGGGAACAGGATTGAATTTTTGACTGTCTGTGACTGATCAAACAAAAGGAGGGCGAAACAAATAATCTGTTGATCATTCAACAGGAAAAAAAAAGAATATTTCAAAGTCATTTGTCACAAAAAAGATGACTTTCCTGGGAGTGAATAAATGAAATAAAAGTTGAGCGTTATCTTGGCCAGGTATCGCATATATTTCGGCGACCTTTTTAACCCCCCCCCCCCCCAAGGAAAAGGCATTGATATTCATTTTCCGTCAGCTTGAATTCTAAATGAGAATTTTTGTCCATTTTCAGATCCTTAATGGCAGCATGGAATATTTATTGTGAACATCTCAGTGATGAAGCAGAAAGCCATAAGTAAGTCGTTCTTGCATCTTACACCTGTCTTCCATTTTCCTGAAATTGACGGTGGCTGCATTGTGCAACATCTACCTTAGTCAATTTGTTTTATCCTGTGGAGTTTAACCCTAACACCCTAGCCCTTTTGGCTAGGAACCATCCTGAATCCTACAGAATCCTCCAATTGCCACCATGTAAAAAATTGCATTCAGTTTCCACCCTCCAAAATCATCCGTTATTTCTTGAATTTGTTCAGTGGAGGGGTGACCATTGCCTCAGTCCTACCAAATCCTCCAACAATCACTGTTAATGGGTTGAGGCAGTGCCCATGACATGAAAAGCAGTGGGGATGATATCCAGCATAATGCAGAGCTCATTATTATGCATGACTGAACATAAACAATACAGGGTACAGCCTATGAAGTGCCATTCATCCTCAATCCTCCAAAATCCTCCAAAAACCGCCTGGAGGATTTTGGAGGATTGAGGAAGATTAGGGTTTAGCATCTTGAAGAATGTAGAATCTACCCCTACCCTTATTTCACAACCAGTCTAAACGAATCCAACAGCTAAAAAAAAAACCCAACTCAGTCATCTGTCCACTCCCCACACAGACAAGCAAACATCAAACTTTTATGCTCTCTTTTTACAACAACGTTTTACTGTGCAATGTTAAATAAAGGTTACACGCATGTATATGATTTTATCTATTTCATTTTAATGTTAAAATAATGTTTTATTGTTTTATTACTCCTACTGGGACCCATGGGAGATCAGTTCTGATAGAAGGACTGAATGGGCCAGCCAGTATAAAGAAGAAATCAATAAATAAATAAATAAATAAAACTTAGATCTTATTGTATACAGCATGTAGTCATGCTTTTAGTGACTGAAAAATGTGTAATAAACGGTAATTTTATGCCATGCCTGCAGTAGCTTAACTTGATACTGCTTAAATATTACTTTTATTTCAATGATGATGAAGGGGATTATATATGTGACCGGCTCCACAAAAAAAGGGTATTATGTCGCAAAAAAGGGAATTGAGTTATATACATGGCTGGAAAGCCCACAATGTAAGCTTTCATTTGGTATATAATAGAGCTCCATAGTCCCTCCCGTTCTGGAGATATATGACATTATATTTGCATATTAATAACTTCCTTGGAGTTCAAATTACACAACTGAGAAAACAGGCTTTGAAATAGCTGGCTTTGCTGTAGAACAACAGAACGATGCACACAAAATGGTCATTTTTTTCCACTTTGTTCATCAAAATCAACATTTCTGTGAATGAAACCTAAAACTGTAGGTATATTGAAGGTGTCATTCGCGACAGAAAATGAAAATCCCATTTTGACAAAATTGTCACCCTCTCAATGTTGAGAGGGCCATTACACAATAATGCTCAGGGCAACTTAATACCCTTTTTTGTGGAGCCGGTCACATATTTTTTTTTGATGGTTTACACTTCTCAGAGTATCAGCCGAATGCCTACTTGAGGACATCTACAAGAGACTTAAGACCTACTTTGACATGCACGTCAAAGCCCGCAAAACGGTAAGCTGGAAGATCTGTTTACAAATTCTTGAGACAGTTACACTAGTTTCTCACGCACTATAATGGGTTTAAGGTACAGCCTCTGTCTCGAAATTCATCTAGCCCAATCCTAATCCTGTTGGTTTTTGATGTGTCTCACAGTGTCAGCGAATGTTCAATTTTTCGCCGATATGTTTCATGTCATGTATGTGGTACCATATTTCTATGTTTGTTTTAAAGGTAATTTACAACATTTGCAAACATCAAAAACAAAATAACCTACTTATTATGAAATACCTCACTTGACTGTAAGTGAATAATAGTCTCAAGCATCCTGTGAAATCATGGCACCTGGTGTGCTGTCATTTTCAAGAAAAGTGCAATTTTTGTATCAATTTCCAACAATGGTTGGCCGACCATCACTGGAAAAAAAACTGACTTTTTTGAAATACTGCCCCTAATTTACCAAATTTAGTTAGTACACATTTTGTTTGCAATCGGTTACACATCCGTGAACGGGTGCAAGCCAGCTAGTCCGGTTCCCTGAACTGGCAATTCCCTGACATCTGTTCAATCCGTTTTGTCTGAAGTAGGGTCAGGGAACTAGACTACAAGAACAGAATTTTATTTCTTGATTTTTCCAGCATGTATGAAAATACCAACCTGCAAATTAATCCATTTCTGAAAATTACAGCAAAAAGCAAATATTGTATGTTACCGTTAACTTTGGAAGTCAATAGCAATTTCCTAAATATTTATCGGGTTTTTATTTGCAGGCAGAAGCAAATGTGGACAAAGCGTGCAAGGCATGGCACGACAAACGGGCCGAAATGGTCAAGGTAAACACTCCAATGCTAACCATAATTTGTTGAAAATGAGACCGTTATTAGATTTGGTTTATGATTCACCCAGCAACACTACAAAGTGGTTGTAGATTTTTTGAATTAAAGGGCTCATGACGTCAATTTTACCTGAGAACATATTGTGTGCAACTTTCTACTCGTCTTAAATGTATGAAAACTTTGACATCCCTTTTTGGTTAAATTTATTGAAAAAGTGCATTTTTTTAACCATTAAAAAATGTCCATGCTTTTCCTGACAACTGAGGGCGCTGTTGCTGTGATGTCATTTCAGGAAGACACTGTTCAGTTTAGGGTTTTTTTGTTCAAATTGTGAACCCAAAAATTTGCTCTTTGAAAACATTTGTGAGAAGACTTTGCTCAATGGCCTACTGTCATGTGCTGAGGCAACAATGAATCACAAAAGAAAAGTACGACAGCAAAATATCCCAAATTCTGGAAAATTTGGTTGCTGAAATAGCTGGAACATTGAGGTTTCTGCCTAAAATGACATCACACTTCCTCAAGGAAATTGGCTTTAGCATAAAAACCAAAAAGGCACACCCTTAAAAATGGCAATTTGAAAATTAGGTTAAATGGGACACAAAAGTGCATTTTCAAGGATTAAATAATTACATGACATGGCCCTTTAAGGCAAAGAGTGTAGTTGCAAGGTTTGTCACAAGCGATTGAGAAAAGTTGCAGACTATCTGTTACGCTGTTTGCAGTCATTTGTTGCAGTTGAATATGGTCCAAACATTGAAACCCTGGTTGAAAATGTCAACCATGCCCAGAGCTTTGGTGAGTGAATTGGGGCTTTTAAAAATTTTAGGGTGAAAATCTCAAGTTTGAAAACACTACAGCTTTGCTGTGGGCCTACCTCAGCTTTCAACGTAGTCCAGATTCTGGACGTGTTTTTTTGTTTTGTTTTTGTTGTCACAAACCCAGTAGGGCGCCCTCCCCACAAACACTCGCCCGGGTGTGAGAGTCTGCTGTTTGTATGCGCGTGCAGTGGCTCGGGTTGGGCGCATGGGGGCGCGCGCTCGATTGATCGTACGAGAACAGTCTAGGCAGTGGACTACTTTCAACGCTGCAATTTGTGAAATTGAAATTGAATACCTGCATGTTCACCAATTTAAACCCCCTTTCCCACTCCATTTTCTACCCTCAGGCTAAGAAGTTAACTCACTCTAAGACCAAGGAGAGTGAAGGTATGCAGGCTGTCTTGGAGAATCCCTGTGCTAAAGGGAAGGTGATGTCAGACAAGGAACTGGGAAAGGTACTTATTACTCGTATTAGGGCAATTCTTCGGAAATTGAAACTAAATCAATTTTTGGGGAAAAAATAATTTTTGTTATGTGATGTAAATCAATTGATTATTGTTCACTAGAGTGTTGCTAGTAAGTACAGACGCAGATTTCTTAAGTTGTTTCATGATTTGATTTTTCCGTGCATAAATTAGCATAAATTTAATTACAAAATGTCACACACATGAATTGACTTGTGATTCATGAATTGACTTGTGGTTTACTTGCGATCCATCACAAGTCCCTCATACTTAATAAACTAAACTCCCTGGTATTTTTGTGTCTCACAGCTTCAGGCTAAGAGCAGGAAGGCAGACGAGACAGCAACCAAGGCAGACACAGACTACCTGAGCCTCATCAAGGCCACGGAGAGGGCCAGACACGAGTTTGAGAAGTCGCTGCGCCAGGCGGTGACGACGTTAGAGAAGCTGGAAAGAGAGCGGATCGGGCAGCAGAAGGAGGTGCTGCTTTCCTACACGGCCTGCCTCTCTAAGATGCTGGAACCACTCAAGAAGGTGAGTTATTGGGTCTGTGCATGCACATAGAGGCCGCTGTGGGCAAACTGTTGATTGGACAATAGCATTTGATGCTGTCCCAGGTGGCTTTCCAGTACAAACTACCTAACCAAAATGGAGTTCCACCCATCGTAATTTTTAATTTTCAAATAAACCACAAAGGGGAACTGACTAGCCGTAGCCTCTCGGAGTGATCCCTGATTGTCATCACCCAGGCTTTCAGCTATTGTTAATGTTGCCAGCATCTTGACCTTAGGCATGATCCTTGGCCACAAGGCATGTACACGTTTATGGCTTATGACTAGCGCTCCTTAAGTAAAGAACAACTTGACAGAATGTCAAGATACGGCTGAGTGGCTCAGTTGGAAAAGCACTAGTATATTTTCTTTAGTAGGTTCAAGGTTTATAATCGTACTTCAGACAATTTCTTTGCTGAACCGCATATCAACCCTCCTATGTAAATATGCATTCTGTGCCAGGTTGTCCTTTCAGTCAAAATCAATCAAGTGACTGTTTTCAACAGTTAAGCGCTCCCAGCCTACATAAAGCTGGATTGACTGGCTGTGACTGTTTTTGTGAATTGATACAGCTGTGCCTTGAGTGCATGTGACTGATAAGCCAGCTGTGCCTACCACTTGCCTGCTTTTGTCTGTTGACTGAATTTGACTAGTCATAGTGCTTGCTTGAAATACGATCTGAATGTTGGTGACTAGCCTGTGTCAAAGGCATAGAAGAGAAGTTGATTTTTTGACTGTCTATGACATTTCAGATAGGGGGGTTAACTTTTAAATTTCTAGTGTAATAGGCTCAAAGTATCGTACAATGTTTGACTGTCATATTTGTGTGGTGATTTTGTCACAGAATGTTGACAGCATGTCACACGCAGTGTACAATGTTTGACTGTCATATTTGTGTGGTGATTTTGTCACAGAATGTTGACAGCATGTCACACGCAGTGACCTGCATCAACCCTGACGGTGACGTCATGGCCATTGCACAGCACAAAGGACGACAGGTGGATCACCTCGATCAGGTCCTCTACGATCCATACGTAAGCATCAAACTACCTCCCACTTCACATTCTATGGGGGAGTGTGGCCTAGTGGTTAGGGTTCGTGACTCCTGATCAGAGGGTCAGGGGTTCGAATGCAGCTGCTGGTCATATGCTGTGTCCTTGGGCAAGCTGCTTCACCCCCACTTGCCCCTCTCCACCCAGGAGTATAAATGGGTACCGGCATTAGTTGGGGAGTAACCTGCGATGGACTTGGCATCCCGTCCAGGGAGAATAGAAATATTCTCAGTTGTTTCATGCTACTGAAACCGGAGATAAACGTTGGCTCGTGACAGACTTTACTCTACTTTGTCCACATTCTAAGAAGAATCTGGATACTTAAATACTTTTAAATTGTGTGGATTTTACCTCGATTCTTGACTTTTAAAAAAGTTGGTGTTGGTTAATTGTTTTGTTTAGGCAGCTTGCATGTGGGCCACATTTTGGAGTGAATAAGGCTGCTGTAATCTTGGGGATACAAAACAGTAGATAAATTATGTTTTTGTGAACGAAAATTCAGATGTAATAAATTTACTTGAACGTAAAACGTCTTTGGTTGCGTGATAAACAAAGGTCCTGCCAGAACCTGAACGTCTGGCCCTCTAATTTTTTTGATGAAGATTTTTTTTTTTTTTAATTCAATGTCCAATCACCTTACAAATTAACTTTTGTATTTTGCTTTTCAAATTGCTAGGAGGAGGATATGAGCAACAGTATGACGCTGAACCGGCGACGTCAGTCGCTACACAACAAGCTACAGTCCATAGAGGGCGAGATACAGAAAGAAACAAAAGTTAAAGCTGGTAAGTAATACATTATCTCTTCGGTGTGGGCACGTGTGGTCTAGCGGTGGAGCACAGGATCCATGATCGTGAGGTTGTGGGTTCCAGCCCCGCCGTGGCCATGCGTGTTGTGCCCTTGAGTAAGGTGCTTTACCTCAATTACTCCTCTCAACCCAGGTGTTAAATGGGTACCGGCATTATTCAATGCTGGGAAGGTAACAGACTCGCTGTGGAGGTGGTGTGGCGATCCCCCCCACAGCAGCATATGAGTCTGGCCCAATCGCTAATGAAAGAGTTGGGCACTCCGTTCCTGTGAACACAGGTTTGTCCCCCTTTTTTTTATCTCTTCAGCTCACTGATTGAAAATGTAGGTAGCTAGATATAGTCTGTTATAAGTACTGACGAAACAGAATAGTTCTAATTAAAATAAGTATACAAAAGTGTATTTGTTGCAATCCTTTTGTGTGAAGTGTAATTGGCTTAGGCCAAAAAAAAACCCAGTCTCCGGTTTCTGGTATGGAGCTTGCCCAAAAAGTGGTACGGCGACGCGGCTTTTTTTTTTTTTTGCCTCAAATGTCGTCTGATGACTGCAAATGGTGCCCGACTAAACTTAGTGCAAATATATGGGAGTCCAGAGAGGCCACATAAAGCTTATTCTCGATCATAACCCCATCCAAAAACATGTTAAAATTGTGCAGCAGTAGGATTCCAGTCAAACCAGTGAGTTTGGCGGTTTTGAGACATCATCTTTCATTGAAAAAAAACTTTTTCATATTGCCGACGCGCATGGCTACGGCGACGCGCGCGCATACCAGAACCCGGAGACTTTTTTTTTTGGCCTTATTTGCGGGGAGCATTTTATTTTACTGCCAAGTGCTGATTTTTGGTTGAAGTCATTTTTTGAAATCTTTGTCCATTTTTTGAGACTAAGGACTGGGAATGTTAACTTCAGAGGCAGAATTTGCTCATGCTTATGAAGGAACAGAAATCCATTTGTCTGAATGAGTGTTGGTTCATCTAGGATGTGTAATATTCTCAAGGTTACAATTAATAAGTGGTATGAAATTGACCGAAGGCTCCCAGACAGCAGAGAAAAAAAATGAAATTCACAGAATCTCTGACACCCCCCCCCCCCCCTTTACAGGTATAGCTCGTCTGTCCGGCGCCTACGCAGAAAATCCCAGCTATGCAGATATGAACGCAAAGGAAGACGTAGCTCAGCAACTCGGCCATGTAAGTAACCATAAAACCACAGCACTCTATAGATCCTTTCCATTGCAGCCATGTTTGAGGTGCATGCTTTTGAAAATTCAAAGTTTGCATTTATTTCTTAACTGAATCAAAATAAAAAAAAATGTTCTCCAATGTTTTGGTGCTGGATGCAAAGGGTCCATGTACAACAGGTGGTCTGTCGATTCTCTGTATCGCAAGTAAATCAAAAGCCGTATCGCACGTCAGGTCCCAAGTAACGGGGAGTGAACATTGAGAAAGAAATTACTGTGTCCTGGTTCATTTGAATACCTTGTGACTAGGCTTAAGACTGGTTTAGTTGTGATGGACTTGTTGGTTTATGGTTTATATAACTCTAACTTCCCTGAGTACTTCAAATCCTCTTTGTCAGAGTGGAAAAATTTGGAGGATTGAGGTTACATGGCAAAAGTGCGCTACTGATTTCGTAGGATGCACTTTGTCGAGGTCTTGGGCCGGGCCTTGTGTTGTTTTTGCTCAGCTATACATAAATATAGGCCTTGATTATGCCTGAATCCTCCGCACTGCTCCAGGATGTCACTGGCCAAGCCTCAACATATTGACAGTCACTGCCGCAGAATTTTGCAGGACTCAGGCAGTGGTGACCCCTCTATGGACCATATTCAAGAAATAATGGAGGAATTTGCAGGATTGAGGCTGCATCCTAGCCGAAAGGCCTAGGGAGTTGGGGTTAAAAACATGACGTATAGCAGTTAAAAATTGAATTGCATGCCATGTAAAACAATAAAATAACAGTAAGAAGACACAAATAAATATAACCATTTTCAAAAAGCCTCCTCTGTGTCTGTACAAGGATTTGTGATTGACTCGTTTCAGTCCGATGAGATGATCAACATGCTGCGCGCCTGTAAGTTCAAGATCTCGGTAGCACTAGCCATGATGGACAAGAAACCCAAACCCAGCGACGAAATCAGCTCCTTCATCAAGACGGAGAAAGACAAACAGGTCGGTGGCACTCACTGTAATCACCAAGCAGTTGTGCAGATTTACATGGTCTGATGGTGTTGCGCGTTTTTTCACCGGGGGGGGGGGGGGAGTTAAAAGTCAGCCAACACTACAGATTTAAATACTTCGTACTCGGTGCCGAAAATAAACCATGTTGTATTTGTTTTCTTTTGACCTCCATAATCAAACTTGACCAAAGTCTTGGGGAAATCCCTCACATGGAAAATTAAACTTCTAAGAGTTTTGGTTTTTCAGAAGAGCATATCATTTCATGCTTTATTAAAATTTATAAAATACAATTTGAAATTAATGTTGCAATCCGTAACCTTGTTTTGGGCTATCCCTGAATTTTTTTTCAAAATTTTGAAATGTGAGAAATCATCCAAGCTTTTCCCTTCAAACACATGATCGATCTTTGTGTTTTACAGCAAGGAGTTCATGTGAGCGTCTTGAAGATGCCTAAGTCCGCTACCTTACCTCCAGTCAGTGAAGTGGACGGAAGGGGAACGGGAGACGGGGCCCACTACCTACCTCCTAGCCCTGACGAGACCAACAGTAAGTCAGCCCCTCAAGACTTCAAATAAGAAATTGTATTTTTAATCTGTTGACGAATCCAGGGTACGTGATCACTGTTCAATCGCATCGGTGTGCGCCAAAAGTTTTCACAAGTGCAAGTTCCATATTTTTTTAGTTAATGATATTGTTGTTTAAAGCTATAGTCCATCATTTGTAATTTGTGCATTTTGTTCGTTTGAAGCAACAAAAGTGCTCAAAATCTGAAGAAGGATACTGAACAACTAACCTGATGAAGTTTCAGCTCAGCTTCAGCTGTATATTCTGAGAAAAACAGCATTCTAGGATCTTAATTTCAAATCAAAAGTTGCTGAGTCATGTTTTGAATTGCGCCTGAATTCAGCGTCCAAGACACGTTCTCGCTAGCCGATTGCAGCTACGCGATGTCGCGCACTGATCCGAATTATAGCAACCGGGGTGCGTGTACGTCGTGCCAATGCTTGTGCGCGCTTCGCCGAATAACAAAACGAACTACTAATTTAAATTTTCCTACGGTGCGTCTTAAGAAGCACCGTTGGAAAGGCCTTCTTTCGTTGATTACTTCAAAATGATAGCTTGCCAGAAAGAATAATTTCACAGGGAGTTTAGTCCACTTACTATCTTTCAACCAAGTATGTTTTTCAACAATAATTACGCCAGTTACTTTTCGGATAGCTGCAAATGATGGACTATAGCTTTAACATGATGGTATTAAAAAGTGCAGCATTGAATTATACTGAATGGAACGTTGTTTGTCCACAGTTAACAACAATGATATAGAGCAAGCCAAGCCGGTAATTGGACAGTGTGTGGCCTTGTTCGACTATGAGGCCACCGAACCCGAAGAGATATCACTCAAAGAAGGTAAGATTGCAATGATAGGGGAACTTAAACTTTACAGAAAACAAAATAACTGGAGGTTTTTTTTTACTTAAGGCAACCTGGACACATCTACATGTGTTGGAGTCATTCTGAACAATTTCAACAGTTGATCTTTGATGTGTACATGGAGTTGTTACCATAGTTTCAATCGTCAACTTAACCCTCCTTTTGTTTGATCAGTCACAGACAGTCAAAAAAAAAATCAATCCTGTTCCCCTGCCATGCCTTGTACACAGGCTAGTCACCAACAGTCAGATCATATTTGAAGCAAGCAATGTGACTAGTCAAATTCAGTCAACAGACAAAAACAGGTGACCGGTAGGCACAGCTACAATCCCGGCCAAATTCGTTGGGACACGTCCACACAATGAGCATACCCTCCCCCGGTCCCCTGCTCCCTGGTCAACGTGTCATCTCGCGCTTGAGCACAGACCGTCCAATGAGAGACAACATTGGCCGGGGGCTTGGGCCCAGCGAGTTTTGGCCAGGATTGTAGCTTATCAATCAACTGCAGTCTAAGCATAGCTATATCAGGTTTGATAACAATCGCAGCCAGTCAATCCTGCTTTATGAAGGCAGGGAGCACTCAACTGTTAAAGACCGCAGGGCTGGCCTTGTTGAAATTGCAAGCCTGAGAGGGAGGGTTTGTAGTCTTCAGAATAATTTAGTTTGACTCGACTCCAGAACGCCAGTATGAAACCGCCACTTATTTGGGCTTTTTGATTGCAGGGGACATCATTAACATCGTCCAGAAATTTGAGGATGGCTGGTGGCACGGCGAGATAGGTGGGAAACGAGGCAACTTCCCTGGTTCCTATGTGGATTTACTATGAAGAAGGTGCTTGATTTCCAGTCTCGTCTACATGCAGGGGACCAGTTGCATGTAAGTTGATTAACAGTGGGATATAGATCATGTAGAAAGTCAAAAGAAAATCGCTTTTGTTTTTGGTAAAGTTTGCTCTTTACTTCAATCGCTGATCAGTACTTTAATATGTTTCTTTTAACCTCCTTAAAGGGAATATTCAACATTTGCTTTTGCTGGAAGTTTCAGAAATGGATGGATTTTTTTGGGGGGAGTTCAGTATTTCACAGCAAATATTGCTACACTAACTTGTCTGAAGTTTTGTGTTCGTAGAAGCTGGATTAACCAAGAAAAAGAAATATGTTCTTGAAGTCTGGTTCCCTGACCCAATTTAAGATGAATCGGAGCAATTTATAGACATCTGGGAATTGTAAGGTCGGGGAACCAGTCTAGCTGGCTTGTACCCATTCGTAGGTGTGTAATCGATTGCAAACAAAATATGGACTCATTATTTGAAAAAAGCCAGGTTTTTTTTTCTGACGGCGATCGGCCGACCAGCCTTGGAAATTGATACAAAAGTACCACTTTTCTTGAAAATGACAGCACACCAGGTGCCATTATTTTACAGGATGCTTTAGACTGTTATTCACTAACAGTCTAGCAAGGTATAATAATTTAGTAGTTGTTGTTTGCAAATGTTGGATATTCCCTTTTAATAACATTTGGTCTAAATTTGCCAAGAGAAACTGCCAATTTTGGTTTAGTACCTTCAATATGTTTCCTGGAAATGTGCAGTTTTTGTTTTTTTCGTTGGTCAGTAAAACAACCACAAGAAACAGTGTATATAAAGGGCATTTTATTCAGTTACATACTCAGAAAAAACGTACTAGAATATATAAAATTTATAGAGGGCATGTATTCGACTCGACAGTACTTTGAAGAGTACTTTTGCAGCTTTTAAAAAGCACTTAAAATATGTGAAATTTTATACTTCAAAAGTACTATTATCTGTACAATGTATACCTCATGGTGTGGTTTTGTTTTATTTTGTGAATTGGTTGTGGTTTTAATTTTGAAGAGCGAGTTGGATATTTTTTGTGTATACTATTGATTATTATAATATTCATCAAAGTACCAAGATGTTTTAAAATGCTGCGGAGATAATTCATTCAGATTCTGAGGAGTATATGATGGTATTTATAAAATGAAGGCATGTCAATTCTTCTAAATCATAAAATTTGAAGGAATATTCGATGTCAAGTTTCTATTATCCTATTATTAGACACGGTTGGTGCTTGTACATTGTAACCAAAAAAAACACTCTTCCATTGGGATCCAACGTCATTCCACGTACATTTTCATTCACTAGTTTTACACAAATGTGCTGTAATTCTTTATATTGTGTATGTAGTTTTCAGGAAGCTGAACTTGTACTTGTAACATATCGAAACAAATCACTTTTCCTTTAGCACCATTTTTTGGTCAGTTTTGGATTTTTAACTGTTATGCAGCAGACACAAAAGAGAACGAAGATGTCAAAAGTAAATTATTTGCAGTAATATGCAACATCACCAAAACTGAATGTTTCTCCATCAAAATGACAGCCATTTAACTGCTCAATTCAACACTGAAAAAAAAAAAGTGTTAACTAAGAATCAGACGGGGCAATTTTTGCCAGACATGAGACGTTTACCTTGTTTGTCCAAAACAAAATATTGTAGAGAACGTGACAGATTGCAAGTGATCACATTTTTCCCAAGCATTTTTTTGTCTCATTTCTTCCTCTAAATTATGACACGGGTTAAATTTGTCAAAACCTGGCAATTGTTGCTGATAAGAAAAGTGGTTAGTGTTATACTTGTCTGTACCTTTTATTGTGAAAACACTGAATCAAGTGGAAGTGTACATTTTGATAATTGTTTAGTAACATGCAATGTTAAGAACCGTTAACCACTTTTAATTTTTGTCAAAAAGGAAAGTTGTGCCAATTTTGAAAAAACAAAATAAAGGTTATCCCTTGCAATTTGGATTTTCCAAACAAACAGACAATCTAATTGTGGTAAAAATGTAACCACTCTTAATTTTTTGACAAAAGTGAAAACTTTCCCAACTTTGTAGAAAATGTAAGTAAATGTTGAGAAATTTCAAATTTCATCAAATATCAATAAAAATGTAAGGGCCTTACAATTTTGAATTTTTGACAAAAATACAAATTGGGCCAATTAAATAAGAATGTAAGGTAAACCCCTTGCAGATCTGAGTTTTTTAACCAAAAAAACAACATTGGGCAATTTTTAATAAAAATGAAAGGTTAACCCCTTTTGCAAGTGGTTAACCTTACATTGTTATTAAAAATGGCCCAACTATAATAATGTAAGGTTAACCCCTTGCAAATTTGACTATTTAAGAAGCACCAAATTTCATACATTTTAAGTAAAAATGTAAGGCTAACCCCTTACCGTTTTGAATTTCTGACAAAAATCATAATTGGGCCAATTTCAATAAAAATGTAAGGCTAACCCCTTACTGTTTGAATTTTTGACAAAAATCATAATTGGGCCAATTTGATTTTTGTCAGAAATTCAAAACGGTAAGGGGTTAGCCTTACATTTTTATTGAAATTGACCCAATTATGATTTTTGTCAGAAAATCAAAACGGTAAGGGGTTAGCCTTACATTTTTATTGAAATTGGCCCAATTATGATTTTTGTCAGAAATTCAAAACGGTAAGGGGTTAGCCTTACATTTTTATTGAAATTGGCCCAATTATGATTTTTGTCAAAAATTCAAACAGTAAGGGGTTAGCCTTACATTTTTATTGAAATTGGCCCAATTATGATTTTTGTCAAAAATTCAAACAGTAAGGGGTTAGCCTTACATTTTTATTGAAATTGGCCCAATTATGATTTTTGTCAAAAATTCAAACAGTAAGGGGTTAGCCTTACATTTTTATTGAAATTGGCCCAATTATGATTTTTGTCAAAAATTCAAACAGTAAGGGGTTAGCCTTACATTTTTATTGAAATTGGCCCAATTATGATTTTTGTCAAAAATTCAAACAGTAAGGGGTTAGCCTTACATTTTTATTGAAATTGGCCCAATTATGATTTTTGTCAAATTCAAAACGGTAAGGGGTTAGCCTTACATTTTTATTAAAATTGACCCAATTATGATTTTTGTCAGAAAATCAAAACGGTAAGGGGTTAGCCTTACATTTTTATTGAAATTGACCCAATTATGATTTTTGTCAGAAAATCAAAACGGTAAGGGGTTAGCCTTACATTTTTATTGAAATTGGCCCAATTATGATTTTTGTCAGAAAATCAAAACGGTAAGGGGTTAGCCTTACATTTTTATTGAAATTGGCCCAATTATGATTTTTGTCAGAAATTCAAAACGGTAAGGGGTTAGCCTTACATTTTTATTGAAATTGGCCCAATTATGATTTTTGTCAAAAATTCAAACAGTAAGGGGTTAGCCTTACATTTTACTGTTTGAATTTTTGACAAAAATCATAATTGGGCCAATTTCAATAAAAATATAAGGTTAACCCCTTACTATTTTGAATTTCTGACGAAAATCATAATTGGGCCAATTTCAATAAAAATGTAAGGCTAACCCCTTCCCGTTTTGAATTTCTGACAAAAATCTAAATTGGGCCGATTTCAATAAAAATGTAAGGTTAACCCCTTACTGTTTTGAATTTCTGACAAAAATCAAAATTGGGCCGATTTCAATAAAAATGTAAGGTTAACCCCTTACCGTTTTGAATTTCTGACCAAAATCAAAATTGGGCCAATTTCAATAAAAATGTAAGGTTAACCCCTTGCAAATCTAAATTTGCAAGAAGAATCAAATTTTATCAAATTTCAGTAAAAATGTAAGGTAAACCCCTTAACATTTTGAATTTTTGACAAGAATCATAATTGGGCCAATTTCAATAAAAATGTAAGGCTAACCCCTTACCATTTTGAATTTCTGACAAAAATCATAATTGGGCCAATTTCAATAAAAATGTAAGGTTAACCCCTTACCGTTTTGAATTCCTGACAAAAATCATAATTGGGCCGATTTCAATAAAAATATAAGGTTAACCCCTTAACATTTTGAATTTCTGACAAAAATCATAATTGGGCCAATTTCAATAAAAATGTAAGGCTAACCCCTTACTATTTTGAATTTCTGACAAAAATCATAATTGGGCCAATTTCAATAAAAATATAAGGTTAACCCCTTACTATTTTGAATTTCTGACGAAAATTATAATTGGGCCAATTTCAATAAAAATGTAAGGCTAACCCCTTACCGTTTTGATTTTCTGACAAAAATCATAATTGGACCAATCTCAATAAAAATGTAAGGCTAACCCCTTACTATTTTGAATTTCTGACAAAAATCAAGATTTGGCTAATTTCAATAAAAATATAAGGCTAACCCCTTACCGTTTTGAATTTCTGACAAAAATCATAATTGGGCCAATTTCAATAAAAATGTAAGGCTAACCCCTTACCGTTTTGATTTTCTGACAAAAATCATAATTGGGCCAATTTCAATAAAAATGTAAGGCTAACCCCTTACCGGTTTGAATTTCTGACAAAAATCATAATTGGGCCAATTTCAATAAAAATGTAAGGTTAACCCCTTACCATTTTGAATTTCTGACAAAAATCATAATTGGGCCGATTTCAATAAAAATGTAAGGTTAACCCCTTGCAAATCTAAATTTGCAAGAAGAATCAAATTTTATCAAATTTCAGTAAAAATGTAAGGTTAACCCCTTAACATTTTGAATTTTTGACAAGAATCATAATTGGGCCAATTTCAATAAAAATGTAAGCCTAACCCCTTACCATTTTGAATTTCTGACAAAAATCATAATTGGGCCAATTTCAATACAAATGTAAGGTTAACCCCTTACCGTTTTGAATTCCTGACAAAAATCATAATTGGGCCAATTTCAATAAAAATATAAGGTTAACCCCTTAACATTTTGAATTTCTGACAAAAATCAAAATTGGGCCAACTTCAATAAAAAATGTAAGGTCAACCCCTTACCATTTTTAATTTCTGACAAAAATCATAATTGGGCCAAATATAATAAAAAATGAAAGGTTAACCCCTTACCATTTTGAATTTCTGACAAAAATCATAATTGGGCTAATTTCAATACAAATGTAAGGTTAACCCCTTACCGTTTTGAATTCCTGACAAAAATCATAATTGGGCCAATTTCAATAAAAATGTAAGGTTAACCCCTTACCATTTTCAATTTTTGACAAAAATCAACTTTGGCCAATTTTAATAAAAATATAAGGTTAACCCCTGGCAAATCTAAATTCACAAGAAGAATCAAATTTTATCAAATTTCAGTAAAAATGTAAGGCTAACCCCTTGCAAATTTGAATTTTCAAGAAAACTCAGATTTCACCATATTGCTATAAAAATGTCAGGTTTACCCCTTTCAAATCTTAATTTGCAAGAAGAATCAAATTTTATCAAATTTCAGTAAAATTGTAAGGTTTACCCCTTACCATTGCGAAGTTTTGACAAAAATCAAAATTGGGCCAATGTCAATAAAAATGAAAGGTTAACCCCTTGGAAATTTGAAGTTTCAAAAAAACTCAAATTTCAGTAATTTTCAGTAAAAATATAAGGTTAACCCCTTTCAGACTTGAATTCTGGACAAATTAATACAAACTGAATTAAATTTTAACTTTTTTAATATTAATCATAGAAAATTTTGATATTTGGTTTGGATTTTTCTGTTCGGCGTTTAGTAATTAATCTACTTGATTGAGTAAAACACATTGTTACGTCACATCCATAAGTGTGTAATTTACAAAAGAAAATGTTCTTAATTATATTTTTTATACAGTATTAATTACAGTACACTATGTATGAAATGCTCAACATTTGAATTAAAGCAGGGAAAACATTTTGAGTGAAATAAAGCTGTACATTTGCCAAAAATATGAAAATTTACAAAGGACCATATCTCGTGTTTTACCTTTGATGCTGTATTTCTGTTCAAGACTTCATTGATTGTGAATGTTTCTATGTCTTTTAAAAAAAATTACCTTGAAATCTCAGAAGCAAAGCCTCCTTTAGGCAGATGTGCTCTGAGACAGAGCCTCCTTTAGGCAGATATGTTCTGAGACCTCACAGACCACGTTGTCATGTCATAGTGAATGTGGCATAGTACTTGGTGGACATCTGTGGTCCCCTGCCCAGGCTGGATTGGTGCAAATCCTCCTTTAGGCAGATGTGCTCTGAGACAGAGCCTCCTTTAGGCAGATATGTTCTGCAGATATGTTCTGAGACCTCACAGACCACGTTGTCATGTCACAGAGGATGTGGTATAGTACTTGGTGGACATCTGTGGTCCCCTGCCCAGGCTGGATTGGTGCAAAGCCTCCTTTAGGCAGATGTGCTCTGAGACAGAGCCTCCTTTAGGCAGATATGTTCTGAGACGTCACAGACCACGTTGTCATGTCACAGTGAATGTGGTATAGTTCTTGGTTGACATCTGTGGTCCCCTGCCCAGGCTGGATTGGTGCAAAGCCTCCTTAAGGCAGATGTGATCTGAGACACAGCCTACTTTAGGCAGATATGTTCTGAGACGTCACAGACCACGTTGTCATGTCATAGTGAATGTGGTATAGTTCTTGGTTGACATCTGTGGTCCCCTGCCCAAGCTGGATTGGTGCTGTGCCCTCTGTGCCATTTTGTCAAAAGATCTGCAAAAGAAGAAAAAAGTGCTAAATTCAAACATTGATGGCAATTTGGGCGCTGTTAAAAATGCATAAAATTTTATTTCAAAAGATGGCACCATTATGATATACAATAATTTGGCGATAGGCCTAACTTCTGAGTAGCCCCTGCTCAGGTAGTACGCACCACCCACTCTCGGCTCCTTCGACCTCATAGAATAGGGTAACCAAACTGCACATGCTCTCGTCTCTAAGAATGCGCGCGCAAACGTTGCAACCCCTCAAAATAGTTTCTAATTTTACTTGCCAGATTACACTTGAAAACTGTATCCCACAAGAGGGCGCTGTTAAAGTATTAAAAATTTATCCCACAATAGGGCGCCATCACAATTTTAAAAAGATGTATCACAAGAGGGCACTGTTACACAACAGTGGACAATTTAATATCACAGAGGGCGCTGTCACATTATAAATTTTTTTAACTCAAAAGAGGGCGCTGTCACAATATTAAATAAAAATATCTCACAAGAGGGCGCTATCCAAATATTTTTAAATTTTTATCGCAAGAGGGCGTTGTCACAACATCATTGAAAATTTGTCACAAGAGGGTGCTGTTTACTTCTGACTTGGTGTTCACTAAACCATGGTTTTGACTCCAGTTCGGCTTCCGCGTCAGAATTATTCACAAGTCTTGTGAATGCCAAATGAAAAATAAACCAACGGAAGTAATCCTTAATATAATGGGACTTATTATCAGGAAGCAGAAAATTGATATAAATTCTCCAATATTATGGGCTAAAATTCAAGCTGAAGATTACTAATAACGGTGCTTATAATAGCGCTTTAAACCAAAGGTCTCAAAGCACACCAAACTTGACTTTGGTTTTAGTTGAATTACTTAGTATGCATACAAATGACTCGCACAAACAAAAATATTGTCGGGTTAAGAGGTATCAAATAGTTTTTGCAGTTTAATAGAAAATTCAGAAAAGACAGTGGCATTTGCTCACCCTAGGTACTGTTGTCTGATCTGATCCCTGAGTTTGGCTGACTCCATGGCAACGACCCTTGACCTTTGGATAACATCCTGTTTCTGGGCGGCTAGCGATTGGCTCTTCATGTCCTTGTAGGCCAGGTCCATCTTGATGGATTCCTGATACAGAGCTTCGTCCTCATCAACTCTGGAAACAAGAAAAAACAACCAACCAAATCAGAAAACTTCCAAAATAGTTTTGAAATTGTATTTCTTTATTTTAAAGGGAATGTACACGTACATCATTTGCTTTTGCTGTAATTTTCAGAAATGAACTATTTGAGGGGTTAGTATAATAGATCAAATATTGTTTAACTGACACGTTTGAAGTTTTGTGTTCGAAAATGCTTGAAAAACCAAGAAAAACAAAAATGTTTAAGTAGTCTGGTTTCTTGACTCCACTAAAGATAAAATGGATCAATTTATAGTTGTCGGAAAATTGTAAGGTAAGGGAACCAGTCTAGCCGGCCTGCACCCGTTCATGAACATGTTACCAACAGCAAACAAAATTTGGACTGAAAAAAATTGTAAATTTGGAGCAGTTGTTGAAAAACTCCCATAGTCCTGTAAAGCTGATGAAGCAGCTCTTGAATTAATGCCCGGTCCTATACTTCGTAATTCTTCGAGATTTTCTTAGGGTTCCGACTGTTGTGAATTACCTCTTTTTCAGTTCCTTGTGAGTCAGCTCCCGGGACCTTCTGGCATACCTGGCCTTGTTGGCTTTGGATTGGACGGTTTCGTTAGCTTGCTGGGCCGCTCTTTCTTGGGCCTTGGATAACAAAGTCAATTCAAGAATAAAGGGGTAAACACTGGAAAAGATGGAGCGTATTAGTATCAAAATATTTGGAAATAGGAGGTTCCCCTTACCATGAGTGACTCGTACATCAGTTGTCGTTGCCATTGACGATTCTCATCTTCAATTTCTTGACGTAGCTGTCTACTCTTCTCTTGCAGCGATTCTTCCTTCTGTCTGTTACCATGGAAACAGGAAAGATGTAAGGGATGCAAAACCCATACAGTTTACAATTCATCGTCTAAGCTTAAAATGTTCTGCAAGTTTTTTCCTGAACCCTTTCAAATTAAACTGTTTGCAATTGCTGGCAGTTTTTTTTCCCCATTTTGTCTCACCAATGAATGTTGTTTGGAGATATTACCAGCCCTCATACATATTCCCCCCCCCCGACCCCCTTTTGTTCCCCTCCCACCAAACTCCTTTGTTTACTAATCTTTCATCCACTGCCCACCTCCCCCATCCCTTCTTTGTGTTTCTCCTTAAGACCCCGCCTGTGTGCATGTCCCTTGCATGTTTTTTTCTTGTCCATGTGTCATTTGCCTCTGAAGAAGTCTTTGCTAAAGACAAAATACATCAGGCCTCTCTAACTTTTTGTTTTTTATATTTTGGGTCAATCCAGCCAGTGAGCAGTTTGCAGCAGCTTAATTATTTTTCACACATGCATGAGGTCTCACCTGTTGAGCTTGATCTCGTGTTCTTGAAGCCACTGCCGATTGCCCAGATTGCGCTCTGCTCGACTCTGCTTCAGAAGGATGGACTCTCTTAATGAAGTCATGTACTCCCTGCATAAACACAATGGGAGAGAATCACGTAATATAGGTTTCCAGGGGGAAAAAAAATGAACACAGCTTCAATTTGACACTTCCCTCCCGCATTTCAAAAGTGAATGCTACTATTGATTGTCTGCAAATTGTCAGATGTTAATCAGACAATCCTAGATTCTGTGTCTGAGCTGAAGGAGAAGTGGGAAGCTTGTGTCCTGGAGCAACACGTTTTACTGCAATATGGGGTGCATACAGGGTCTACAGATTTTTTTCGCTTTTCTCAAAAACTTGTTTCCTTCTTACTGGTTGTACTTACTGATTATCTTTCTCTAGGCTGGCTTTCATGGATGAACGGAGTAATGTCCCCTTCCAGTTCCTCTCTTTATATTCCTAGTAAAAAGTAATTAAAAAAATACACTGTAAAATTGTCGACATGAACAGGCAAAGAATGAACGAATGATAACCTGAAGAGACCTGCACCCGAATTCATGAAACTCATCGTAACTTGCGATGCATAGTTAGGGTAGTTAGGTCTTTGGAGGTAGGGGCAAGGTGAACATGACAACATTCGGTGGTTTTCTTACCCTAGCCTCCTGGTCTTCTTTCAGGCTGCGTAACCTCTCAGCTCTCTCCTGAGTGACAGCCAAGTGATCAGACACCGCCTGGCGATACTCCTCATCCTTCTGCTCTCGCTTCTTCAACACTCGCTCCTGAAAGGATTCCAAAACACCACAAAAGGGCTTACTCCTTTTTTTCGCTACTAGTGGCCATTAAACGCAGTCTGAAATTTCTTTGAAGCATCTGCAGCCCATCAGAACCAGGTTTACATAATCAGCCTGTTTGGTTTTATACTCTTTTACCTGTTTGTTCTTCTTTTCCGCATCTTCAAGTTTCTTGAGCTGAATCTGATGTTGCTGTAAACAATAAATGTAAGTGGAAACTTTAAAAGATGTAAGCTTCCTTTTTTACAGTGTTGAAGAGAAAGATTAAATTAGGATCTATATTTGAGGTCTTCTTAAAAATATATATTGGATGTTTTTCTTTTCCTTGTCTTTTTATCCCACTTTGACAATGACTGATTTACATTGGGCAGGGTTACATACAAAACCTGTGATTTTTCCCTTTTCAAAAATTCCTGTTTCCATAGCGTGATGTCTGTCGGGATGTCTGTCTGTTTGTCTGCCTGTCTATCTCTCTCACCATCAAGGCTTCTTGCTCCTTCACCAGTCTGGCATGGTGCAAGTCCCTGTACTGAACGTCTTCTTCTGCTTCTTTCATCTCTTTGTCTCTCTTCAGCTGTTTCTGCCGTTGTTCCCTCTCCTGTTTTCAAAAACCACAAAGTAACAAACCAAAGGATGTGAAATTGTGGTAAAATATCCTGCTCTGGGACACAAGCTTTGTGATCATCATTATCAAATTCAGAAGGGTTACAAAATAAGTGAATGCCTGGCAATTAGGAGTAGCAAGTGCTACAGGGCCATTCTTCGGTCACTGTGTGACATAAAATTGGGCTTGTCTGATTTTTGAAGCTTTACCCCTTGTTGACTACATCTGACATATTACTTTCACTGATTTTTATCAGGTTAGTACTTTTTAATCCCTACTTCAGAGTATAGTTTCTACTTTCACAAATTGCGTCGAAATGTTAGGACTGTTCATCAAACTTTGGTCACGTGTGTGACATCAGACAAAAAAATGTTATCCGGCCAACTGTTTTCCGGAAATTCACGCTTTTTCTCCAAAGTTCTAAGGACACACACACCCATACTTACTTTGGAGTAAGACTAGTCTTTTGTGATTTACAGAATGCATAAACAATGTACACCCTCTGCTTTAGTTTTACTAAATGGGAATCGTTCTGCGGTCACGCGTGTGACACTTTGATCGGTCACGTGTGTGACATTTTGTGATTAAAATGATGCTAATTTATGCATGGAAGAAATTTGCATCTTACTAGCAAAACTTTTTCCCCAAAAAACAATTTACATTCAATTTCTGAAGAATCGCCCTCTAGAAGGTTTACTTTCATCTACATAAAGTACAATAATTGACAAAGATATTTTAGCTTTTAAAGTTTCTGTTACCTTCTTTTTCTGCCTGGACTGGTTTGCCTCGGCCAGGTTCTTCCTGCGTTGCATCTCATTCCTGACCTTTGACCTTTCTTCAGTCCGCCTCTGCTCGTCCCATGCTAGCCTCATCTCCTGCCGCATTTCTTCCACCATTTTCTCATCTTTGTATTTTTTCTCCAGCAGGTCTAAGATTTTCTGATCCTGTCGAAGGGGAGTGAGTTTGTCAAAAGTTATTAAACTTGACTGACTTATTTGAATTGACTGGTTCTGAGAATTATGATCACACGCCAAAAAACCCTCGTTTTGATATACTTGAATACATGGTGTATTCAATAAAATAATATGCTAATGTGGAACACAGTGGAATGACACCAGAACATGGAAAAAAAAAACTTGCACAAGTACAAGGCTTTAATCACCTGATCTGACAAAACACTGGCACCAGACGCCGATGAAAGCCGACTGACGGACTGTCGCGATGAACACGAGGACATTGACCTCTCCTGTGGGCCTCTGACCTTTGACCTCAAGCCAGGGGTTGTGACAATCGGCGAGGCGGGTGTGTGGTGCGTGATGGAGCGAGTCGTTCTCCTGGGTTCGCTTGAAGGGGCTGTGGATGGTCTGTTAGACTTTTGCGATCGTTGGCTCGTGAAATGTGCTGATGCTGGACGCTGAGGTTTGTCTGTGACTGTGTTCCTGTTATCACCTTGTCCAAACTCCAGACCTACATATGAGTAGATGGAAATATTTAAATTTCAATATTTAGCAGCAAAAATTTGCCAGTTAATAACATGACAAAATTTCAGCCAAAACTTTTCTAAAATTGCTGTGTAGCATAAAAGGAATGGCTAAAAAAATTTGCAAAAGAATTATAGTTTTCTTTATTCATTCAAGTACACTTCATTCGGGAAGCTTTTTTCAAGGAAAATCAACTCCCTAACAAGACAATAAAGAAGGGAAACTTTGTAGAAGAAATATGAATTAACAGCTAAAAGGATAACAAAAAAGATGACGATGACTATTTGTCTGTAAACCTAAAAGAGCTACTGTATACACGTAGAGTTTCAGACTTTTTCTATTGATAACGCAGGTATTCTTACTTCTGTTCTTTATTGAATATTCATGGTCTCTCTTAGGTGACTCGGTGCCTTTCGAATGGTGTCTGGACTTGTGTCTTGAGTTCTCATCTTCTTCTTGTTCAAGGATCAGCCTTTCTCTCAAGCGACGACACTGCTTCAGTTTCCCTTCAGAAAAACAGAGACAAACTTTGTGATTCTGAACACCTAATTATCTGGAGAGTTTGGAGAATGTATGACCAATCTACTGTTAAATAAACATCAAATGTCTTATCAATAAACTTAAAAAAAACAGGATATGATGTTTCACTTCTAATGAAAACTAGGCGTCAATTCAAATCCCTAACCCCCTAAGGGTTCCTCAGGACTACCCTGCTATATCCAACAGAGTCCAACGGTTACTTGCTGCTCAATCCAACAGAATCCAACTGTGCCTAATTTTTAGTTGTCTGCTGGATCCAACAGAGTCCAACTTGGCGTTATTTATCAGTACCCAACAGAATCCGACTCTGAATATGTACATGTACATTTGTACAAGGGTTTTACTGCTCAATCCAACAGGCTCCAACAGGTTTATGATAGTTAGATTCAGTTGGATTCAGCAGGGTTAGGGTTTTTTAAATTAATGATACTTCTTAGAAGCTTGACTGGATGGTATTGAAGAGGAAGAGACCATAATTCAAAGTGTTCAAGATCGACCGCTCTATGGTCACTGATGAAATTCCCAGGGCGTTATTTTTACAATGTCGACTTGCATAATCGTGTTCTATACTCACTGAGTCTTTGCTCTTCGTGTTCTTCATACAGCCTCTTGGCGTTACTCAACGGCTGGCCAGTCAGGAGACATTCCTCCTCAAACTCCATCAGGTCCTTGTGCAGCAACTCAATGGGCTACAAGGAAAGAGACACACATCCAGCAACAGTGATATATGGGACACAGCCAGTCAATCTTGTTTTATATAGGCTGGGAATTCTTAACTGTTGAAAACAGTCACTTGTTTGATTTGGACTGAAAGCACTACTTGGCACAGAATGCATGTTTGCATAGGAGGGTTAATAAATTTTCTGTTTTTACAATCAATTTAATTTGTAGATTGAAGTGGGGTAAGAGGGGGTATTTTCGACCGGAGGAGAATCCGACCAATTGCTCTTATAAGTACAAGCCTCTTGTCTGACTAGAATTAAATTATGCGCTGCAAACAAAGTAAGTGCGTGGTCATGTTATAGGTTATTTCAGTTAAGGCCAAAAAAAAAAAGTCTCCGGTTTCTGGTATGGAGCTTGCCCAAAAAATGGTGCGGCAACGCAGCTTTTTTTTTTTTTACCTGATTTTTTTGCTTCAAATGTCGGCTGATGACTGCAAATGGTTCCCGACTAAACTTAGTGGAAATATATGGGAGTCCAGAGAGGTCACATAAAGCTTATTCTCGACCATAACCCAATCTAAAAACACGTTAAAATTGTGCAGCAGCAGGATTCCAGTCAAACCAGTGAGTTTGGCGGTTTTGAGACATCATCTTTCATTGAAAAAAAACCTTTTTCATTTTGTCGACGCGCATGGCTACGGTGACGCGCGCGCATACCAGAAACCGGAGACTTTTTTTTTTTGGCCTAAGATCTCACTCTCTCAGTTACACTACGTAGAACTGGTTTTCCTCATCCTGTCGAATTCTACCCCTATCCCATCTGTTTTTATGTTCCGAGGCCTGTTAAATGAACCGGAAGATATCTTCGAGGCCCACCAGCGGGTAGTACAACTCGCTACGTTTAATCTCTTGTAGATGGTTTCCTCTGCACTTAAGTAACAAAATGAGGCTATTGATAAGCAGCGATGTGACCAGGCCCAGAAAGCTGGTTCCAAATAGTCCAAATATCGTAGTCCAACCATCGTCGACTAGACAGAGTTCGGGCTAACTTAGTCGAACTATGGTTAACGATAGTTCGTGCGCAAACTTGCCCAATGCTGCAAACAAACTACGTACATGATCATGTCATGAGTGATTATGGGGAAAGATTTCCATATACGAAGTTCACTAATTTTCCTCTGTATTGACTAACAAGCCCCCAGATAGCAATTTCATGTCATCAAAGTCAATTTGAGCAGTGAGATAATACAAGCATTTTCTTAGAAAACACTTAGAATGTTTCAGTCCAATCTCATAGGGTTTGTACACAGGGTGTTGAGTGAACTTCGTATATGGAAATCTTTCCAATTATGGTTGAGATCTCACTCTCTCATTTAGGCAGTGTCAGTTGTCCTTATAAATGTGGTCGGATACTCCTCCTTTTACCGTAGAGTTGCTAAATTGCTTCAAAAAAAATGTAGGAATAATTTTGTATTCTCAAAGAAAGTGGCATCATTACTACACTTCCATTTGACCTCCTCTTTCTTTACACTACCCATTGTATAGATGTAGACAAGTGCATGTATGTACTTTGCCACTCCTCTATCAGAGACCCCCCCCCAATTGACAATACTGACCTGAACTTCAAGTTGCGTGCACGCTTCCAGCGATCGCGGACTGGTCAATATGTAAGGGCTATCGACAGCCTCTACACTCTCAAAGTTGAACAAGTCCAGATGCAGGTTGTAGCTGGAGTTCTGCCAGTCTGACATGGAACTGCTGTTGTCCATGTTAGCCGCTGTGCGACTTTTGGAGGCCGAATTCATCTCCTGTCAATGTTCGTATTTATTCTGTCAGTTTTATAAAACAAAGGCTTTCAATAAAACATTTTGCTGCAACATGTTGCAAAAGTCACAGGCCCACTTGCATTTTAATGCCTCAGGAAAACAGTTAAACCATGTGAACAGAATATTGAATAACACATTAGGATAAGTAAAAAAATAACTAGTTTTTTTCTAGTGCTTTATTAAAAAAATAGCAGGCAACCTTTTTTCTTCTTTTCTCCCTGCCGACGATGTTTTTCATTTTCTCGAGTCTTTTGCTGATACAAAACGTGTCCAAAGGAGCCATAACCTTTTTTACATAGCTGACAAATTTATTGAAAGTGCAAGCTTATTTTTTTGTGAATAGCGATGTCACGCCCCAACTATCGCATCGGTCCCAACTATAGTTGGGCCTGTCCCAACTATAGTTGGGACGGTCCCAACTGTAAGTTCCACTGTTGGGCTGGCCCATCTATAGTTGGGCCACTCCAATCTTTTTATTTTGCGGTCCCAACTATAGTGTACATTGTTGTACGATTATAAAACATTCCCTACAACTCTAATACACATCTGACTTTACTTGGGACCAATGAAATTAACTATGGGTGGGGACCATCTGTAGTTGGGCCACCGCAATATTTTTATTTGGCGGTCCCAACTATAGTTTACATTGATGTACGACTATAAAACATTCCCTACAGCTCTGTTACATACTGTCCGACTTTACTTGGGACCTTTGACATTAGCTATGGGTGGGGCCCATCTATAGTTGGCCGGCCATGGCAATCTTTGAATTTTGCAAAATGTTGCTGGACAATAAAACCAAGCAGCAGCTGGACAACTCATCCAACTAGGCAGTACCACGTGACCGGCCAGCCTTGCGGCATGCATGCACGACGAATACACGGCATGCACGGTGCCAGCGCCGCGGAACATTTAATCCAACAAGATCTATCAAGCATGAAGCATCCGGCGCAACTCCAGTCCCAACTATAGTTGGGCCGACCCAACTGCCGCACTATAGTTGGGACAGTCCCAACTATAGTTGGGACCGATGCGATAGTTGGGGCGTGACAGCGATTTGACAATGCAATAGCGCAACTGGTTAACCAAATTAATCCACTCTCGCTGCTTTGCGAGACGAAACTGGCACAAAATCCACAAATGAATCTGTTCCCACGAATATTATGTAATTCTTGACGTAAAGTATGAGTTAGAACTTATTTACATGATAAAATGTTGTGATAATACGGTAATACTAACCACAAAAATTGGAAATTCCAGTTCCAGCTCCAAGGCAACAGTTCAACTTTAGCGCTTTTCATTTATTAATGAGAAAATGACCTCAATCTGTCAAGAGAGGGCGCTATGACCAACATGGCGGCGCCCATGGTTAGAGTTTCGTGAAGAAACCTTTCGACAATAAAACCAAATTCAAACACAAAGAACCCCGAGCAAATACTGATAATCGCAGTTGATTCCAAAATCACCGAGGTGTGTTTCTGTTCGACAATTTCTTGACTGAAATGATTGGTAAATTCCATATCATGGCAGGTATTTTCCCCAAAACTTTCTGCCAAAAGTGCCATTGAATTTGACATGTTTGATGATTGTCACGGTGGAGGTAGGAATTGAGTAGGCATACGTTGGAAATTTGCATTTCTATTCGTTCATATTATAGATTCGTCAAAATGCATGTCGTCTGGTCGCGCCAGGTTGTTCTCGGACTCTACAGACGACTCCTAAGGGAGGCCGAGACCCTCAGGTTTACAGACAGAGACTTCTACAGGAGGAGGATACAAGGGGAGTTTCGCAAAAATATCCACGAAGCGGATGAAAGCACGAAGTTGAGACATGTTCAGCACATACGAACTTGGCCTATGCATCGTGCGGGAATTTGCACGCCTGCGCACTTGCAGTCATTTTTAGAAAAATATGTCGGTGACTTGCCTACGTCACAGACAACCCGAACGTTTGCGGGTCAATCCAGGTCAATTCCCGCGCGGACCATCTATTTTTGAACCGATCGATATTGCGGTCGGCCGATATGTAATCTGATACGTTCCCACGCCACGGCAAGGCACTATGCATACATGCTGCATACAAATACGTATACGTGTATGTACATGTATTGGATGATCCAGGGGATCGGCGAGCTTCAAGTCAATTTTTTCAAATCGGAGTTCGACTCGAAGCTTGCTTCATTTTATTTTTGACCAAAATGCAATTTGGCATTACATGTATATTCAAAGTTACATAATAATACAGCAAATATGAAAGACCGTTTAGATCTCTACATCATTTGTTGTGAATTAGCCACTGGAAAACACAGTACAAAATAACTTTATTTAAGTTTAATAACTTTTCAAAATCTGCACCTGTGGTTTTTAGTATTTTACGACGATGGAAAAAAAAAACATTTTTAAAGTTCTTTATCCTTTTTTCCCCGGCATATTTTTAAAGTTATATTTCATTGTCATAGTGCTAGCCCAGGGCGGATAGGCATCGTGTCTTTTTGCTATCAGTCTTTATGTTATCATTTTAAAAATTATTGTGTTTTACAGGCATATTTTATTCATAGGTTAATTTAAATGTAAGTTTTACTATTGTCAGTTCTTGCATGCTGTTTTTACTGTTTTTACTCTTTGATTTACACCAGGACAAGAATGTGTTTGCTTTTAATTTAGATGACTAATACAAGTACGAATATGAATGTTCACCACTTGTCAATAATGTCGAGAAGTTATAACAACAAAGGCATGAAAATAAAAGGAAATACACTTGATGCCAACTTCACGAAAGGGGTAGATCATGGGGGCAATTCCGAAGAGTCGTCAAAGAACAGACGCAAAACAAACAATCCAGATTATAATCTCCCCCAGGCTAATACATAGTCAAAAACCCGTTCTTTAAAAATCGAATCAGAGTAAGTAAGCAGTAAGCAGTAAGCATGACAAGTCTTTCTGGTCCCTCCCCTGTTCATACCAGACCCCTTGTGGTTTGCCATCTCCCTTTGTTTCTTTGTTCTCTCATCCACCCTCCCCTGCATCTTTCCACACCTTTCCCACCTAATCCTCCTTTTGTGTTTCTTCTTTCACCCCTGCATGTTTGTGTGCACCCCCTTGTTAATGCATGTGCCTCTGTCATTTCTGTTTTATTAGCCTCTGAAGAAGAACTTGCTAAGTTCGCAACGTCAGGCCACATTAATTTTTAGATTTAAGTCTTTTAAAAAATAGTTTTGAAATTTTTGAATCAAATTGCAAAAGGTTTTCAGCGTTTTTACGGAGGGACTAAATTATCAATCCAAAAATCATACCTTTTTTCAAAATTCTTGTTCCGGCTGAAATTGCACGCAACGAACATTTTTTGGAAAGAAGTCTGGGTCAAAATCAGATAAAATCAACGAAATCATAACAATCAATGTTGAGAAAACTTTACCTGAATGTCTTTTGATTTTTTACGAAGAGACAAATTCGTGCAAAGGGTGGGGAATGGGTATCGGCAATTTGCCAAAACAATAAGTGTGTGGGATTTAGTTTTCACGACCAGACAAACATCTATGGGGATTAGTTACGATACCGGTACCTCGCAATTGTTGTTCCATTATTCTGTAATTGGTACATCTTTGAAGTTTCATCTGTGTTTCAAAAGTTAGTCAGTAGTATGCGAAATGTTTATTCCAAATCGTGACCAACTTAAAACCTCTTTTCTGACAACCACTGCAAGTTCAACGGGTGCATTATGTTATACCTGTTCCCCAAACCTAACCCTAACCGTTAAACCCCAACACCTATTGCGGCAAATTCACCCCTTCGTGAAAACGCTGACAAATTGGAATAAGCGAAATCTGGATAAAGTCAACACTGATAACTCAAAACCTGAAAGTCAAACCATCCCTCCATGGTCAAAGAAAACTGCATAGTACTACGAAATAAAACAATATATATACCCTGATTAACCAAATTTCGAGTTGTTCCGTAGCTGCATGGGAGGCTATACTATCAAGGTTGGGGCCTTAGGCCTATATATCGCAAGTCCGACTCCTCCGATGATAAACCTGGACCCCCGCCACGCCTCGGAAGTCCGAAATTTCCAAATTATTAGGCGTCGGACTGATGAGGTGTCGGACCTAGGCGTCGGAATTTTATAACAGTTATGGGCCTTATATTAGATTTTGCCGGACTTGGGGCCTATATGCGTCTGACATAATTATATGAGGCTTAGCGGAGCCCTTAAGATTTCCCTTTAAGTCCAATGTTATTGAAAGGTCAGAAACGATGGAAAATGATGAATACTCCGAATACAAAATACTCTAAATAATTATGGAGAACTAGTGATCAAAGGCATCTTGTGAGCGAATAGTTCGTCAGTACTGATTGTTATTCTCCTCTGATGTCATTGTGTATCGTCTAAACATGAGAATGCAGTTTCTATTTTGTTGGTTTCTGACAAAGGAAGGCATTTCAAATACATGTATTTTGCACCAATTTTTAGAGAAAATATTCTGAACTTGCGGAAAAAGGACCCACCAAGTCAGAACGTAGGCCAAAGAGGCGAAAAAAGATATGGTTTTTTTTTTTGCATGCGGGAGGTGTTTGGTACGCCCACGGGGGTACGGACGTGCGGATCCAGATAATCCACCCTAAGAATTTCTGTGTAATAAGCCATGCTAGAGTAAACTTTTAAATAATAAAACATGAATCAATGAAGTTGGAGGCTCACTCGGATGGCAGGTAAGGGAGCCGCTGGTACGTTCAAGTTTGACACCACCGAGGAGAAAGAGAAGGCTGCCGGCCAAGGCTAATGCAGCTAAGGAGAAGGAGAGAATCAAGGCCAAGAAGGAACGGGAAATGAAAGCCAAGATTGCAGAAAAGCCAAGAAAGCCAAAATGGTGAATAAAGTCAAGAAACCCGCGCCGAAGAAGTCACCCAAGAAAGCTGCCAAGAAAACGCCATCCAAGTCAAATATACATCTGTCAAGAAATCCTCCACCAAGCCATGCCAGCCAAGCCAGCCAAGAAGCCAGCCAAGAAGCCAGCCAGCAAGAACACATCGAGCAAGCAGAAGAAAGTGTCGGCCAAGCCTTCGAAGAAATCATCGAATCAACAAACTAAAACCAAAACGGCTCTTTTCAGAGCCACAACATTTTCACAAAATAGATATGAGATATTCGTTTCTGCAATTTGCATTTTTATTAAATTTTATATTTTTCATGATTACTGTTTTAAGTTTTCGTATAAAGCCCCCCCCCAAAAAAAAACCCCCAAAAACATCATTGCATGAAAATAAGATATTTTCACCCCATATTCCGTCACCGACACCACGAAGTAACACTACCGTGTTAAAGCATATTTTTTTCGATTTTCAGTTTTCTGGATTTTTTAAACATTATTCATCAAGGCCTACCATTGCACGAAGTTCCAAAGCTTCAAGAGCTTTACTTTAATAATTACGCTAAGTATCCATGGCAACTTTTGCGCAAAAGTGACAATTTCGTTTTCACGAAGTAACACTCAAGTTCCATTTTCCATTGCAATGCATGGCGCGCACTCTGCTCATAAGTGAGCAAAAACGTTTTCACGAAGTAACACTCTTCTTGTAGCAAGTTGTATGAGCGCGCGCGTGCTGACCTGAAGTTGCACTTTCCTCATGTTAAATACATTGAAGAGTGTTACTTCGTGAAAACGAAAATTTACAGTTTCGCAGCTTTTTTGGTTTCACGAACTAACACTCATCTTTTTTCTCTTATTTCTTGTTTATTTAATACACAAACGAGTGAAAAACAGCAGATTTAATAAATTCAATTCATCAAATGTCCAGAACGAGAAACCCAACTGAAAATACTCTGTCGTTTTGACGCAAAGTGCTGTTTTAGAAGGCGTTCAACTTTAGTTGCCGTTTTCTCCGATTGCCAGTTTTTACTGGTATGTAGATGGGTGTTACTTCGTGGTGTCGGTGACGATTCCATTCCGCGCCAGGGGACAGCGCAAAGGGTGAATAAAAAAAACCATGATATTCCAACCTCCTGATTCGGAGTACTCTAAACTCCCCCCCCCCCCCCCCACACACACACACGCACACCCACGCTTAATTGCACAGGCGTAGAAGTGGGGACGCGGCCCCATCCCCCATTTGCCCCCATCCCCCATTCGCCCCTCCCCCCGTCCCTAACGCCCCCTTCCCCGGGGTCTGGATAATGGTGCACGGAAAAAAGGAAAAATTAGGAACAAAGGAAATTTTGTTCCCGGTGCACCGCCCCCTATCTCCCCACCCTTCCAACCTGCACTCCAACCCGCGGGCCTCCCTCACCCCACCCACTCAACCCCGTCCCGTCGCTTTGGGATAGTAAGGGACGAA